ATAATTTATTTTTGAAATCTGCGTAGCTGAATTATGGAAAATCCGTCATTATGACCAAAACAACTTTTATGAAGTATAATTTCGTGGGCCTGTGTTAATAATTAATCATATTAAAACTGTGAAATGGTAACCTATGAACGTTGTATTATGTAATGCCCAATATTCGTTTTATTGCATTAAAGAATCGATAACTTCGTTCTGCTACATACTCAATGATCATTAATGAAGTAAATAAAACCAGCAACTGCTATTAATTCAAGAAAAATAAGTTTAAAACTTCAAAGTGTTCAATTTTCCAATAAAAAACTGATAAAGGGCACATGAGCTCACAGCCTATAATAAAACAAATTTTTTATACAGTTTTTGGTTTACAAACACACACGGACATGTGTGTATTAACTGATATTGCATTTTTAAGTATTTTATTAGAAGATTTATGAATTGACATTTTGATTAAACTTAAATCATTTCCTGCTTTAACTAGAATTATTGTATAGGTTAAACTTTTTTTTTGAATAATTTAATAACTACTTTCATGTTGTATTAATCAGATGTTTATTTGTGTTATAGAAAGACAGATGTAAGAGAGAGAGAGAAGTTTTAAAAAATACAAAATAAATTTTTGATGTATTTTCTGCTCTTCAATGTTGCATTTAGGCTTAGTAAATTTCAATCCACAGTCGTGCTAGATGATATACTAAAAATTAACAGGCCATTTATACAAGCTTTTAATCAATAAAATATTAACCTTCTTGATTTTCTAAATTTTTAAAATGAGCAAGTCAAGACACAATTGTCAGTACTTTTAACACATAAAAAAAGCTAGTTCTAAACAAACCGAATGTAATAAAACTTCATTAGGTGAATGAAGTGTTTTATGTACATCCTATAAATACAGAGAGTAGTGAAGTCATTCTATCTTATAACAACTTTCCTGACTTATTGCTGTACGTGAATGAGGTTGCACTTTTTTTTTGTTAGAAGAATAACACGAAACATAACATTCATTGAAAAAAAATCAACAGAACTTGTAAAGCCAAACTTTCAATACAATCTATCCTCTTGATGAACTCTCAATTATTGTATTTTAATTGAAAAACATTTCAAGTTTGTTATACAGACAAATTACACATCAGTTCGTGTATTCAAAGCTTAAAAATAAATATTTCAGTGATAGCCAGAACAAGAATGGCATACTACTCCACATATACCTCCAAAGACGTAGTTTGATTGTTAACATTTGAAAATGGTATTCAGAAATGCTTTGCAAATTTCAAAACATAGAAAGACTATCTTGGCACAAGTTTAACTACATTGTTAGGAAGAAAACAACCTTGATACAAGAAACTGTTCTGAGAAATAGTACTTTAGAACATTAAGAATAATCACAGCAGGCACCTTCGAGTCAAGATAATAAAATTGAAGAGAAACAATGTATATCTTACAGGTTTCTTTCAAATATCAGTAGAAACTGTTACTTGTAATTGAAGATAACAATTATATATGTTTGACAAATATAAAGTTTAGCAGTAAGGTTAATCCCTTAAAAATTTCTCGAATACAGCACAACTACACAGTTCAAAGAAGCAGAATTCCTCCATGCTCAGTCCCTGACCATTGCAACTGAAGTTTTAAGACAACACAAGCTATAGTATGGAAAAATTAAAGTCAAATGATATTGTTACTATTTTCTTAGATTAACATATTCATCACATGATGGGATGTACTCACCCACCGTCAGCCTGAGTAACTAGTATGTTGACCAATAGGTGGCTTCATTCCCTTAACAAATATTACTCAAAACCATTACAAACATCTGAGATTTAATTAATCTATTTGGGCAGTAAGAAAATATTTAATTTTTTTGTCCTACCCAAATTCACGGCAATCCTCGACACCATTAATTCTAATCACATCAATAGACATTACCAATTTTACTTCAAGTTCTGTGGCAAAGCAATGAAAAAAAAAATCTAATCATGAACTGACCAGTGACTGATAACGAAAAGTGAATCTTACATAAAATAAAGCTGTACCAAAGCTATAATATGTGATATGTAACTAATGTGACCATAAAATAAGATGATACAATACAGTGGTATAAGAGGTAAATACGGACTAGTTAAAAGGCGTTTGCAAGGTATATGGATTTGTTTTATTCTTATTACATGTTCTATAATGAATGAAGTTCATTCCATCTGGAGACACTTTGGGGGTCATAAAGATTACTCCAAATAATCACTTTACTACTACACTTGCTTGTATTTTTTTTTAATATATGCACTACATTTATTAATGTGTTTATATTCATATTGATTTCCACCATTTTAAACTGGGCTAAGTAAGTTTTGTCACTGTTGATTTGAATTTAGTAGCCAATGACACTTTTGGTGTACCATTTTATGTAACATATCCGTGAAAATATATCAAATTTTTCAGATGTACACTGGTATCAATAAGCTCACCACTTGAACACTGGCAACTTGCATTGTTTAAATGTTTTGATATGTTATGAAGTACTGTATGGATAAGAATTTTTGTTAAAAACTAGTCAAATGTTCAAAACTGTTTAAATGACCATGAAATTCTTGCGTGTATTAAATTTTTTTTTCAGATATGATATTTCAAAAAGTTAAGATATTCTAATAGAATCATAATCTACATAAAATGATCTTATAGTTAGTGTGGTCAAACATTTTAAATGTTTTCTAATAATAATAATATTGCACATACAAATTTTGTATGCAACAGTTACCTCTCTGAATGAAGTGTAAACATCCGTCACTTTGTTCTCGCTGACCTCTTGGACTTAAAATACATAGAAAGAAGCATTTCAACGAGATACCACTTGAATAATAACTGATAGTGAACAAACGTCCTCCTCTGTCCATTTGATCATTTACCTGTTCCACGATTTTGGTGGATGAAGCCACAAGGAAAAATGGATACAAACGCACAAGTCAGAAACTGAGTTTCCCAATAACTTAGCAGTAAGTTTAAGGACTTGTAATGCTAGAATTCAGAGCTCAATCCACTTAGTGGATACAGCTCAGACAGCCCAATGTGCTAACACAAATAAAAACTAACTGCTTGCTATGATTGGTTTGCCTTATTGCAATAACCACCTGCAGAGGCTAGAACATGAAACACTTGTGTAATTATTAACATGTTTTCATATTATAATTCAAATTACTCCATCATCAACCATATATATACATATATTATCAACTACATGACTGCATAATATCAACCAACACTTTATAATGCGTATCTCTAACTCCAAATATGAATAAAATATACTTATTAAAATGACATGTCTTGCAAGAACAACAACAAAAGATTCAGTTAAGGTTCATGCATTAATTCAAGAAGCTGGAAAGGATTTGGGTTCTACGAGACATTTAAAATATTCTCCAGAGTCACAGTGCAAGTACTTAGATTATCTACCAGCTATTAGCTGTGTCTGGCACTCAGGGACTTCTATTGTTCATGTTGTAAAGATAACTGTCTTAGTCAGAAAAAACAAGATGATGAAAAGCATTTAAAGTATAGAATATAAAAAAGTATGCAAGATTATAGCCAGTATCATATGCACTGTTTTTAAGTAATTATTTTGATTTCCAAAGCTACACGTTTATGAATGTGAAGCTCCATAAAGAAGACAACATGCTAGTCTATCGAAAGTTTATACATAGACCAAGTTGTTCTTAAAATTATGTTATTTACAAGGTAACTTTTTTTTTTTCAGATGGTGACCAGCACTGTTTAATATATAGTGTAGATAATAAACAGACCACACTTTGGCAAAAAGTTAATATAAAAGATAGTATTTGTACTGAAACCTGGTTAAATGTGCTGATACACCAGATTTGAAAAATGATGCACTAATTTTCAATCAGTATAATTCTATTAACCAGAAGTCTAAAATATCATTATATATATATATATATATATACATGAAGGCATCAGTTATATAAAAAAGGCTGATATCTATGAATAATAATGTGAGCAATAAATATATAACATTGTGCTGAACTGTTACAGGCAAGTATTCACGTCTCGAGTATATAGATAACACTTTTATAATGACATCACTAAAAATCACAGCTACAGTGCGTTACATACTGTTTTATCAGTAAGGTATGGCATGGTTAGTTTCATCAAGATTATAGTTGTGCTATTTTGATACATTAAACGAACTTGTCCAGGAAATCAGAAAATATACATCACCAAGCTCTGTCTACACATGAACAATTGAACTGGGTGTAGTAATATTCAGAGCATTCACAAATAAATTTTTTCTCTCAGACTTTATCAGAACATGAGCGATTATCACCAACAGTAGGCCTATGGAATAAATAATCGTACAGGCATGTGATTATATTAGAAAGATGGTTCGAATATGAAGTGAAAAGAATTGTAGCAGATGAACAAAGTCCGTTATGTATGTATGTATGTATGTGCATGTCAGACTTTTCTGAAGTGGTTCCATCTTGGCGAAAATCTCCAGCACAGATTTTTTTATAAACGACACAGTACTCCCCCATTCATGATTATAACAAAACATAGATTAAGCAGGAGGTGGTATAAAATGGATACACCTGACAACTAGGGCTGATCTTTTGAATTTGTTATTTTTACAGTCAGAAAAAGTTCAACCACAAACTACCTTAACTGTTTCAAGACTTTTACACATAAAAAATAACAACAACATATTTCTATGACAAAGTCAGCCACGAAGGAATCTTTCAGTAATGAGAAGGCTATTTTTTTCTTTTTAATTACACTCGAGATGCTATAAAAATTCACCTGTTTTATATAAAAGTGTCGCATGCTGTACATATGTTAGAGATACGAGTTTGTTGTATAACTTTAGCTATAAAGATAATAATGATTATAATAAAAACAATACAACGAAGTTAAGAAACCAACTTCTAAATCTAGTCTTTTGTTATGGGATGATCTCCAATCACACTTGAATAGGCACCAAATGGCAGAAACTAATAAGGATCTTTTTTCTATCATTCTTAGTTAGCTACTCATACCCCCTCCCCATTAACACTTGTATCCTTTAACTCTGAAGTTGTAACTAAAATGGGAGTTGGCAGGTTGGATGTCACTGACAAACCTTATTCAAAACCTTGCCAATCACTGTACTCCGACTCTTCTTCTTCCATTTCTTGACCAATACAGTGTATTCCACTCTTCAGAAATGGAGTGCCTTTACCCTTACCTTCAAGAAAAAAGTTTTCTACTTTTACCAGACAAAAATCAAAATAATTTCTGCATATAAAATTGAATTTTTGTTATTCACCAATAAAAACACTAATCATGTATTCATGTAGTTTGTATTTTAATTAGATGGCCGGCAGCAGAGAACAAATATCATATATTACCCAAAACCACAAAGATCAATTAACAGTTAATTTTAGTTCAGTATTTTACCTAGAAAAGACTTAACTATTTAAAACTAAATTCCAGAGAGACAGATTTTTTTTCACTTACCAAGAACTCGAGCATGAAGTACCAGAGTTATGGTAAATATTGAATTACCACAGGCTTCTAGTACGATCTGTTCACGGAGTAGTTTCTCTTTGTAAGCGAACAGCTCTATGGTGATTCGATACGGTATTTCTGATAGAATGACAATTAATAATAACATTACTTTGTTTTCAATACTGATAAACTCAACACATAAAATGCAATACTTCTTTGAAGTGTCCGCCAGTGGGTCAGTGGTAAATTTACAAACTTACAATGCTAAAATCCAGGGTTAGATCCCACACAAATAGACTGCATACATGGACAGTGCTAAAGGAGGGGTTAAAAGGTGGGGGCTATGGCCACTCCAATAGGCTTAAGTGGACTTTTGACAAGAAGATGAGAACTATATATACACACATATATAGTGTTTATGATATGCCTGTAATCTCTAAACTGTTGAGAAATTTGTTGTAAATACATTTAACTTATTCTGAACATATACATATATATAATTTTGAAAACAAGTGAAGTGCATGCTGTTTATTTATCATTGGATTTATCACCAACAAGTCAGAGACACCTACTGTAGAAGAATCCTAAGCCCAACAACAACATATTTATACTATTAAGAAATATAACTAAAAGCCTTTTTATTTTGACAATTGATGAAAAGAAAATATTATATATAATATACACAATTGACAAATTTCTGACATAAATAATTATGAGCATACCCCCAGTGAAAGTTTGTTATTCTTTATTTCAACTAATATAACCTAAAAAGCTTCAAAGTTTCACATTTTAGTTACTTTTATAATAATAAATAAAGAATACAAGAAATATAGTATTTACCTGGGTCTTTTTTTTTTTTTGCTGTAGGCTGTTGAAGAAACTTAATCCTACTTTTTTATACTGATAGTACTACTGCACTAAATTTTATTTAATCAGATAATGCACCAAAGAACACACATGAAGCAGACAATGTCCTATAACTATCACAATTTTCTGTTTTTCTAACTATGTGGCAAGAGCCGTTAAAAACTTCAGCTAAGTTCGTCCTTGCGCTTCCTGTGTAAATACAGTTTGAACTAGAAGTGAAATATACAATTCTCTGTACAGAAAAACAACATAATATAATACATCATTTGTTAGATTAAAACTTTGGCTTTCTATTGGTTATAAATAACATTAATTTTCAGTGGGAACTATTGGTAATTTGTGAAAGAGAAGATGTTACAAGTGGGCGTGGCAAGAGGAGTACGATTTTCAAGTTTATGGCTCTGTAATCAAAATAAGCTTGAATACTATTAAAACTTTGCTTTTCCTGAGCAATGACAACATTATAATGAGTAATTTACATTAAATTTTGTACTTCTCAGTGGGGTGGTAAATAAATTAGATAAAAGAGAATACCTAGAGAGCAAACTGAGGATTTTTTAAAATATTGTCTTATAAAATTAAGAGTTTAAATCTTGTATAATATCAAGATTTGGATTATTAGCTACATTGTGATGCCTGGTTTATTCATATACTATGATAATAAAGTACTTTAATTATATTTTGAATGTAACTCAGTAAAAATATTTTGATAAGTGCACAAAAGAATGCCTGCAGCAAGAGGGTTTAGTCCACACCCTTTCCATTATCCAAAGTAATATCCTGACAAAAAGAACTTTAACAGCTTTATAAACCAAGATATTTATGTAGTGAAACCACTTTGTCTCATTTTTTATGATATCATGTTTCACTAAATAGTGCAAAGTTTTTTTTTGCCCTGACTGAAATTTTTTCCCACTACAAAAGTAAGAGTGACTGGCCTGATTACATCTAAACAATTTTTTATGTTTTTTTTATAAGTATTTTTGTGATGCTAAACAGAAAAGGTGGTAGTATGTGTGTGCTTTTTGTCCTTACCATGGCTTACATGGTTCATAGGTAAAATTCTTTCCTCTTTAAAATCCACTAAATGTTTCCAGTATCTTACCTGGTCCTCCGTGTATTCCTTCTACTGGATTGAGGTCAGTGACCCTGAGGTTAAGATTTGGAGGGTTTTGATTTCTTACAGCAAGTGGTCCTGTTGTCTCTTTACTGTGGAACACAAAAGATACCTCATATCTATGGCGAATCTATAAAAGAAGAGAATACCAATCTATAGTGTAACAATAAATCCGGTATAAATATTCACCACACACACACGTTCTTATTACTGACATTTTCTATTATTTTTTCTTTACATGTCAAAATATTTTACAGCAACTACAGGATATCATAATACAGTGTCTTAAAGACAGAACAAGGTAGTGTTAAGATTACAAAAAGTGAAACTAACTTAGAAATGTCACAAAACAGCAAACCTTTATATATCTCAAAAACTCAAACTGTATTGTATCTCAAAATATGTGAAATCTATTTAGACATGTCACAACACGACAAACCTACTTATACCTCAATAGCTCAAACTGTATCGTATCTCACAAAATGTGGAGATTTTTAATAACACAGATATGTATGAAGTTTCTTTTATCAGTGACCCATAAAAATAAAAGGTCAGAACAGAAAGAAGAAATACGAAAAATATTTTATAAAACAGGCTGTTTTATACCTCATAGTTGTCATATAGAAAAGTTTGTTTATACAAATATAGAGTAACCTGATCTAAACATGCAAGCATAACATTTCAACATGTTACATTACAGCTACAAATGCTTCTCTTTGTTAACCAACAACAACAACAACAAAATGTACAGGTAATAAATAAAGACCCAACATAACTACAAGGCCATCATGTACACAAAAACATTATATATATATAATGTGTAAAATAAAGTATGAAACCATCAAATAATAAAAAATATAAAATATTAATGATAAGTTAAATGTATGTACACCAAAGCTGAACATAATTCTTTTGCAAAGTGTAAAATATACAAGATAAAGTGTATCTTAAATTAGACAGATACACACACCTTGTGTACAATATTAAGTATGACCAGTCATGGAAGAAATTACTTTCAAAAGGTTTAATTAAACATACTTATAAGCCCATCAGTAGCACAGCGGTATGTCTGTGGACTTACAACGCTAGAATCCGGGTTTCGATACCCGTGGTGGGCAGAGCACAGATAGCCCATTGTGTAGCTTTGTGCTTAACTTAAAAACAAACAAACATACTTATAACTATTGACTTTTATATTCCTACTTCTGTACTTTAAAATGATCGATTAAAAAAAAAAAACACCCATTCTGCTCTTATCAAACAGAACAAAAATAGGTACGTTAGAAAGACTACAGTAGGCTGTGAATCTTATCAAAACTCAGCATTTTTTCTTTTCTTTTCCAGAGTCTATGTTTAATATTTTCAGTCTGTATTTGTATTTATGGAACTTATTAAGGCTATCTGCACAATCCCTAAATTTGAGCTACTATCCAGAAGGAAGGCAGCCAGTCAGCAGCACCATACAAGTCCCATTAAAGGATTGACTGTCACTCTCTTAACACATCCACAGCTTAACGTGCAGGGAATATTTGGTGGTACTGCACAGACTTAAACCCCACATATCAGTTCTGATATCTAGAGCTGTACCACGGGGTGAACCCACGCCCAAGTACTCTATATTTTATGGTACAAATTTGAGCCCGACTCGCCAGCTTTGAAATCTAGAGCTCTACTGTAGGGTGATCTTCCATCCTTATATTTTTTTGTCTGTGTTTCATTCATTGGTCTTGGATGATCTATTGCTCTGAATTTTAAGTTTTTCTCCTTCTTTATCGTGTAATCAGTAACAAAATAATTCATAAAGATTAGAAATAAATTAGAAAATGACTTTTTTGTCTAAAATACTATTATAACATTCTTTGTGAAAAATACATCAATGAAAATGTTACCCCCCCTTTTTTTTTCCACCAAAACAAGACAAACATATATTTGACTTGAGAAAATTGCCTCAAGTTCTAATAATCTTTACAAAGAACAATTGTGAATAGACCTACTTGCCTGTAAAAAACCTAGATGAACATTAATATGTGTATCATTCAATGGATGAATAATGATATCCGCATCATGGCCAAAAGTATCCGAATCCTCATTGAAATGGACACGATGGTGATCTATAGTGACAAATTTACAAGGAGTTCAATGAATATCTTAACAACCACAAACATCACAAAAATGCCTATCTTCAATGTATTGAATATGATTATAGTTTAGAATTTTTTCTTAAAGCAAGCTAAATATTAATTTTAATTTCTAACACACAGAACTTCAGGTTGTAAATAAGTTACTTTTATTGACTACCAAATAAATCAAACAAAGGAAGTGGTCAGATAGCCTGCAAGGACCAATGCCAGTAAATATACCCATTTCAGCTTCTGTACCCTGTGGATCTTACCAAACTTAGCTGGGAAAACCCATGGAATATACAGTGCAAGTAGTGACATTCACTGTTGTATGACCAACATCATAAAATAAATTATTTTCTTAGATACAGATTTTTTTAACATAAAAAAATAATATATATATATATATATATATATATATATATATATATATACTACTATATATTATTATTTATACAATAAATAATAGTATTTATTTAATTACTCTTTATT